TGTTGGGAGTGAGGTCCTTTGCATGTGGCCTTTTCTTTAAGCATCACCTCTCCCAAAGTGGGAAGGATTATCTCCCCTTTACAGCTGAGGGAACCAAAGACCAAAGAAGATTAAACAGAACCTTCCCAAGAGCCCCTTTGAGAAGCCACAGCAGAGGTGGCAAGCCTGTGCCCATCTGCTTATGTGACATTGCCAGCTGCCCCCAGGTACCTGGAACCCCATTGCCATGAACCAGTATTTTTTGGAGAATCTAAATTTTCCATCAAAGCAAACTTTCTGTTCAAGTAACTCATCTTGCAGTACAGATATTAACTTGACAAGTCAAGGCCAGAAATGCCCAAGTGGATGTTCCATCTTCCCTGTATTGATTTGCTTGTGTAGTCTGTAACAGCCCTTTTGCTCAGTAAATGGCAGAAATGGAACAAAGTGACAACATATCCAACTAAAATCAATGCTAAATCATTAAGCCAATGTTTTCTCTTTTCCCTGTTAGTGGAGTCTTTATTAAGTAAACTCCACTCCCATACTAGAGAAAAAAATGGGATGCCTTCTGGTTAATTGGTTTCCTGGTTTTAATATAGCTAAGTAAACTTCCAGATTGCCTATTCAGGGATGTTAATTAGACACAACATGGGAGCACAGATCTCAGTGTACAAGGGAATATCATAGCTTTTGAATTTCTGTTGGGAAGAGAACTCTACATAAAAGTTCATTGTCACTGTGTTCTTCATCCCAGAAACCACCACTTTATTGAGCCCTTTGTATAATACATCCAAGGCATTGCACAAGTTCTTGATACTCATTATCTTATTTATTCCCCACTACTGCCTTATGCTATTTTGCTATTAGCTCAGAGAGGTTTAGCTATTTGCCCAGCAAGATCTCTATGACTGGGATGTGAACCTGCCTCCAGCTGACTCCAAAGTCCATTATTGTATATACTAACAGTTATCCACTAGGTGTTGCAAAAAGGAAAGCTCTTCATTAATTCATGTTTGCTTAGAGTGACATAACCAAAAGATTATCGCCCAAATCACCAACAACATGTAGTATCTAAAGAGCATCTGACTGATCATCATTTTAGAGATGAGCTTAGTAAGGCTCAGTGAGGGCAAAAGGCTTTCCCCAGGCTACAGTAATGTGTGATGGCGGGATCAAGAATTCAACTTGAGCCTCATGCTTTCCAGTCTAGTGGCTCTTTGCACTACGTGTTTCTCCTCTGCATGGTTGAAGCGGATCCTTAGCGAAGCCTGAGTGTGGCACAGTTTGGAGACAGCAGTGTATTTGTGGAAGGGCAGCCTAGGGGAGCTCTCACTCCTTATCCCACGACAGAGAAACAGACTCTTGTTCCCAGGAGGTGGGAACAGCATGTGGACGGCAGCCTTAGCACAACAGGAGCCTGGCCCACCGTGGCCAGGTCTTGAGGGGAGGATCAGACCAAGACTGTTTTAAGAGATGGATGAGTTTCCTATTGCTGCCATAATGCATTGCTGCAAACTTAGCTGCATAAAACAACACAAACGTATTATCTCACATTCTGTAAATCAGAAGTCCAGGGGATGGGGGACTCAGCTTCTCTGCTTGAGGTCTCCCAAGGCTGAAATTAAGGTATTGGTGGGCCTGGGCTGTTATCTGGAGACTGTGGAGAATGTGCTTCCAGGCTTGTTCAGGTTGCCGGCACAATTCAGCTTATGCAGTTGTAGGACTGAGGTGTCTGCTTCTTTACTAGCTGTTGGCTGAAGGTCCCTCTCAGCTTCTCTAGGCTGCCTGCATTCCCTGGGTCCCAGCACTTTGCATCTTCAAAGCCAGCAATGGCGGATCAAGCCCTTCTCATACCGCGAATCTCTCTGGCTCTCCTTGTGCTGCATCTCTCCTGTCTCCAACCGGAGAACGTTCTCTGCTTTTAAAGGTTTCATGTGGCTAACTTGGGCCCATCTGAGTAATCCAGGGTGCTCTCCCTATCTGAAGGTCTGAACCTTACTTAGATCTTCAAAGTTTCATTTGCCATGTGACAAAACATAGTCACAGGTTCTGGGGGTTAGGTATAGACATCTTTTGGGGGCAATTCTGCCAACCGGAAGAAGACACAACCCAGTGACCGCATTTGGGTGTCTGTTCCTGTCGTCCTGAAGAGCACACAGCATGGACAGGCATGTGTGATGGAACCTGGATGACCCTGGCTTCGGCCACCTGCTTCTGCTCAGGCTTCTCAAAGGCGCAGTCTACACCCTCCATCTCCCATGTCCAGCCTGCGTCTCAGGGCTTTTGTTCTTTAATGTCTTTCTTCCACCCTAGTGTTTAAAAAGCCCAGTTCCTCCGCTTTCCATTACTTTTACATTAGTCCCGTGGGGTCCTCAAGAAATTACTAATAACACTTGCTATCTACCCGGCAGCTTCTCCCAAACATTTCCTACTCACCATGTTTTATGAGCCTCCTAACCATCCTGTGAGGTCAGTAAGATAATGATGATGGTGATGACTATCATTACTATTATCTCTATTTTATAACCCTGGAAAATAAGGCTCAGAAATGTGAGTGGCTTGTGGAAGCTCTCACAGTCGATAGGCAACAGAGCCAGGTTTTAGGCACCTTGATTACAAATCCCAGCTGCCTTCCATCATGCCAAACAGCCTCCTCTCACTCCTTTCTCACTTCCTCTTACCCCTCATTGTTCAATTAATTAATCATTTTAATTACCCTGTTCTACTCTCTCTTCACCATCTCCACATTTCATTTAGATTGTAGTGCCACAAGCTGGCTGCTGAAAGCTGCCATTTCATTCCCATAGAGTATTTATGCCCGATTTTTGCACAGCTTTGTTTGTGTCCATGCTGAGCACTGTCCCCAGCTGGATTTAATTCATAGTCTTTGCACGCAGAGCCTAGATTCTGTGGGAATGTGAATTTTGCAAAGTGTGATCCAATTAGTGCTGCAGACCAGAGATGTGTGGGAGGTAAAATCTCTATTATAAAAAACCTTTGAGCCAATGTCCTCTTTCTGAAATGAGTTTTAAGACAATCAGATGAAATAAAGTCAAGAGCCATAGAGAAGGCCACTAGCCTAGGAAGTCTAATTTATAAGTCCATTTAAGGACTAAATCATTGAACATGGACAAATAATAGAGGCCAGGGAAGCACAAATAACTTTGAATTGAAAAGCAAAAATGGCATGTGTTAAAAGGCAAGCTGGTGGGGGCGGGGGAGGGGGTTGAAAAAGAAAGGCAAGCTGGTTGCTCAAATTCTTACTTTTGAAAAAATAAAGAGAAAAATAGTAATAATAGCCAGCACTTACTGTATAGCGGACACTATTTTGAAGACTTTATGTATATATTAATCAGTTCATCATCACAACTCTATGCATCCAATATCATTACCATGCCCATTTTACAGATAAGAAAATTGAGGTACAGCAAATTTAAATAACTTGCCCAAGGTCATGCTGTTAATATCTATAGAGCAAGGATTCGAATCTAGACACTCCAGCACAAGAGTTCAGGTTTTCAGTCACGTGTCATGCTCCTCCTCTGAAGCCCATGGACTCACTGTATTTTAGTCTACGTGTGTGTGTGTGTGTGTGTGTGTGTGTGTGTGTGTGTGTGTGTGTTGGGGGGAATTTCTCTTTGTGAGGAGGAATTTGTGAGATTTGTGAGGAGAACCTGTGAGATTCTTTCCAGTTTGGATGTTCAGGGTTCTGAAAAAGGACAGTGACCACCAGACAGAGCTGATATCCTGGTGAGGCTGCAACAATGCTGAGAATAAAGTGCAGGAGCAGTCTACCATTATTTTTCAGTTTGGAATTGATTGGTTCTATAAAAAATATTGTCTTCAGCTGGGAGTTTTACTGTGCTGGTTAATTTTATGTGTCAACATGGCTAGGCTAAGGGATGCCCAGATAGCTGCTAAAACATTACTCCTGGGCCTTTCCAGAAGAGATTAGCATTTGAATTGGTGGTCTGAGTAGAGAAGATGACTTCCACCAATGCAGGCAGGCATCATCCAATACATTGAGGGTCTGAATAGAACAAAAAAGGTGGAAGAAGGGTAAGTTTGCTTCTGTTTGAGCTGGGATATCCATCTTCTCCTGCCCTGGGACATTGGCCCTCCTGGTTCTCTGGCCATAATTTTCACCACTGACTCCTAAGATTTGGGAGGCTGTGAAGTCCCACGATCTGCAGTTTGTAAGCGGGAGGCCTAGGGAAGCTGAAGCCACAAGTCCCATTCTGCATCTGAAGGTCTGAGAACCAGGAGTGCCCATATCCAAGAGCAGGAGAAGATGAATATCCCAGCTCAAGCAGAGAGCAAATTTGTCCTTCCTTCGCCTTTTCATGAAGCCAGCTGGAAAACAATGGCTTGAAAACCGCTTTTAGGACACTGTTGTTGTTTTCCTTGACTTGGCCGCATTGTGTGCCTTAGCTAGAGTGTGTCGTGATGCCCCAGGACCAAGATAACTGTGGAGTCAGCTTGAAAAGAAGGCAGTGAAAGCCAGAGATCCTGCTGCTGCTCAGGGAAGGTGTCAGAGTCAGGAAGCAATGTGGCATTGAGCTCTCTATGCATACTCAACCTGCTAGAATAGGCTGCCAGTGCCCGTCCCCAAAGTGAACTACAGCTAGCTCCTCTGACCTTAGAGCTTTTCCAAACACAATATGAGTTTCTAGAACCAACAGAATATAAGAAGTTCAGGTCTCTCTGCTTTGCTTAAGGAACTGTCAGCTTCCTTTTCAGAGCCTTCCAGCCTTGTTATGACTACTTGGTCAATTATTGGCACGTGAGTGGACATCCAACTCATGACTGCTATTTCATAAATGATAACACTTGGTGAAATCAAAACAACACTGGAATTCCAGTTCTCTTCTTTCTATCTGTAAACCAAATATCATGAGTGCAATCACAGTGCCTCGAATGTGTGGTGTATAATTATGGCTCTGTGGAGACTTCCCTCCTGTGTTTTGGGGTGATGCTGACATGCTTTACCCTTTGGTTTTGCCTTCCATGTACCACAGGATCGATAAACAAATAAGCAGGTTTCGGAGATGGTTACCTAAGAAGCCAATGAGGCTGGACAAGGAGACACTGCCAGACCTGGAGGAGAATGACTGCTACACTGCCCCTTTCAGCCAGCAAAGGATCCATCAGTGAGTGTTTCGGGTCAAACCCCCTGTCTTACTAAGGACGTGTGGCTGTGATAGAGCCTTACCCTGCACGCCTTTGATTCCTTGGTGCGTGGAAGGAATGGCATAGTGCCCTTCTCTCCTAAAAGTTTTGTGAGTGCTCATATTCCTTTTATTTTAGTCAGGGGGAGCTAACTGCTGTAACAAACAATCCCCACATCTCGTGGCTTAGAATGACACAATGCTCGTTCATCTGCATGTTGGGTGAATGAGTTTCCCCAGGGCGATGCAGAGACCCAGGCTCCTTCAGTCTTGTGGCTCTGCCAACCTCCTGTGTGCAGAGCCCGCCCCCTGCAGGCTCATCTGCATCTAGCCAGCAGATGGGGGAAATGGTCTACATCTTTTCCGATTGAAAAGAGGGTTTGTTGTTTCCTAGTTTTTATGTATCTCGGTTCACTTCGCAGTTTCCCTTTCTCCAGCAATTCACTAAGTTGCCTTAGGAAAAGCTGTGTCACCATGCAGCCCACTTGCTGACTCATCTATCAGACTATCTCAGAACAGTAATTTGTCACTTTTGACATATGGGTAGGGGAAAAAAAAAGTTGGCTATGTAACTAACTGAGCCTATGGGGAATTGCAAAAGTGATAAGAGAATTTGCTCTAAAACTTCTGAGATGACAAGAAATGATGGCCGGACTGCCGGGCAGGCAGGAGGAGAGAAAAGAGTGCCAAAGCCTGGAAACAAGGAGAGAAACACAACATGTCACAGAGCGCAGAGATCAGGCCAACCCCGCCTCCCTCACAACCAGGCTTGAGGGATTCCTGGCCCTCCCCGTTCCAGCCATAACAGCAGCCTCAGTAAAAATTAGTTACCTGGGGGAAGGAAGGGGATAACAGATTTTTTAAAATAAGTATTTGGCTAATTTTGTGAAAAAAGTAAACCAAATGGCAGTTGTCAAGAAGTTTCAGGGAATGCAAGATGGGGGCATGTTCTAGCAACAGAATTATCAGTTAAAGTCTGTGGACCTCCAGAGGGCAAAGAGAGGAGGAAAAAAATCAAAGATCAGATGTTGTGCATCAAAATGTATAATACTCAGTAAGATCAATCTAATGCAAGGGAAGCAACTCAATAAGCCTCTAAAATAGCCAAACCTTCGATCCCCACAGGTTTTTATTTATCCCAGTTCACTTCTGAGATAATATGCCAAGCCATCCATATTATGTGAACATTTAAAAGGGTCACTGAAGAAAACATAAGACTCACAGCCCAGCCTCAAAAACTTAGTTCGGTCTTCCACAGAAAAATAAGAACTGGGAGGAACATAATGTTAATTCAGAGATCAGGATCTATGGGTTTTTTCTTAAGAGAAAAAGACATTCAAAAGCTGACATGTTCCCAGTCTTAATTTAAATCCTCACCCTGTCTATGTTGTTCATCTTGGAAGTTTTTTAGGCAACCGATTATTTCTTACGTTCTTCTTAAGTGGAATCTGGTTTACATGCAGATTTTTTCCTGTGTTTCTTACCTGCTTGAAAGATTTCCAAACATAGTACAGAACTAGGCGTCAAAAATTTTGCAGAATGGATGGATACATGGATAGGTCAATGGATGGATGGATATATGGGTGAATGTGCAGGTACATAAATGAGTGGAGGAATAAGGAAAATTCATGGTATGCACTCTGAGGGGTTGTTTCACTTCAAAGGGGTAGAAGTAAATTGAAGAGCAACGATGGACGGATAAGTGGATAGATGGATGGAGAAATCAATGACGTATACGGTGTGTGCTCTGGGGTTTTGTTTCACTTCAAAGGGATATAGGTAGGTATATGGAAGAGGAAAGTTTCCCATTTCTTCATGCTGGTTATATTCCATGATGTTATTGCTTTAGAGCAATACTTCTCAGCATGCTTCGCAAAGTCAGAAGCACCTGGACACCCATTAGGATTTCTGGGGACCAGAACCAAGAATCATATTTTTACAAGTAATTGAAAATATATAATAAATGAAAGATGATCACACATAGGATAGAGATATTCAGCCATCTCTCTCACATATTTTAAAAGTCTTTTTTTTTTTTTTTGACATGCTTGGGTATTGATTTGCCAAATAATTTATTTGTTCAACAGTCACTAATTGAGTGTTCAACTCTTGCCAGACAATGTGTGGAGTCAGAGGATATAAAGATAAATAATACACAGTTTTGACCCCAGCCTAGTAAAGATGCAGACTATCTGAAATAATTGTAAACAGTATAATGGGTGTGACTTGAAGAGAGAGTTCTCAGTTCTCTGTATTTGGAGGGAAGTTGGTAAGTGATGAGGGTTAATCATAAAGAAGAAAATACTTGACAGGGATCTTGAAGGATAAGACTTACCCACATAGATAAGGGGAGGATGGTATCCCACAAAGAGAGAATAATGTGTGTATAAAAGAACAAAGGCATGAAACAGGATAAAGTGTTTGAGGAACCACAAGTAGCTTTCTGTGGATAGGAGTATAGTGTGCAAGTGTTATTATTTGAAAAAAAGAGTGATCGGTGGAAGATGAGATTTCAAGATAGAGGACCAAGGAAGAAAAAGTAGAGAGATGGCTGGAATGAAGCAAACTGAAGGACCAGAACTCAGGATACCAAGAGAATAGAGCCAGTTATATATTGCAAGTAGGAGATGAAAAATTAAATAAATATCTTGAATGGTATCAGTGGGAATTCTGTCTCTTTGAAAATTGTCATGCCACATGGGTAATATCCCTTTGATGAGGGTGTAAAGTATGACTTGAAGAATGCTTGCTGTCAAGTTGGAAACAATTGTTTGGTACAGTCAGAAAAAAAAAAATTCCCTAAGGGTGCTTTGAGAGTGATATTAAAGGATTTAAATTAGTCAGAAGTAGCTGGTTAACAAGCTGTGGGAGTTACAACATGATATCCTAGCTTTCCAAATACAGTCTAATATCCCATGTGACTTCTTAGTTTTTTAGAATGCTTCATATTGTGCTTGTCTTGGAATAAAAGAGAATAATAGAAATTTAAGTGTGTTGGGTGGGAGGTGAGGTGGAGGGGAAGGGCATGAATAGTGTAGGAAAAAGAGAAGAGAGAATTGAAGGTTTAATAAATAATGATCAAAGTGGGAAAGAGCCTTAAAAATACCTTGCTCTCAGGATAAAACCCAGACTCCTCAATTGACTCACTAACTCTTGCTTTCATGAGCTGTTTTCACCTTCTTAAATCACCTTCCAGCTCTTTTGTCTCCTGTCTACACAAGCTCTTCCTTCTGCTTGGAATGCCTTTTCCTTATCAGAGACATCTCCTCCAGAAAACCTACCATGATTTCTAACCTCTACCCAAATCTGGTTGAGTTTTACTCTTCTATGTTTTGGTAATATTTTTCTTTTCCTCAATTAATATCACCATCCATTTTAATTGCTTTATCCTAGACTATAAGCTTCTTGAAAGACTATGCCTGTCTCACCCAGTTTTGAACCCCATCGAAGGTGCCTAATAATGATTTGTTCAATGAATAGATAGAAACAAAAATAGAAGAATGATGCGAGTGAAGAATAAAGATGATTGGAAGTTAGCCAACTGCACACTCATATCAAACCCAATTCAAGACATCTTCTCCTCAAATGTGGTCCACCTTCCCTGTTCCCTGTCTCAGTAAACAGCGCTGATATTTGCCCACTTGCTGAAACTGGAGTCTGGAAGCCATTCTAGGCACCTCTCTCATCTCTATTTCCCACATGTTATACATCTCCAAGGGCTGATAGTTTCACATCCTGTGTCTCCTTATTCCAGCAACTTCTTCCTATCTTTGCTACCATTATTTCACTTCTGAAACCCAGAAATAATGTAACAGGTCTCCCTGGTTCTATTCTCACCCACCTCTAATTCATGCTCTCAAGTGCATACAGAATGATGTTTTCAAAATGTGCTTCTGATTATGTCAATTCACCCTGTTTAAAAGCCTTATAATAAACACCAAAATTATTGCTAGGACTTACAAGCCCTTGAATAGCCTCGCCATGCTGCCAACCCCTCTCCAGCCTGGTCTGGCTTTCCTGCCTCCCACCCTGCACTTGTTATGACCTAGGCACATACAACCTCTCTCAGTTCTTTGGATTTCTTAAAATTTGTTTTTATTTGTATAAATGTATGGGGTATAAATATAATTTTGTTACATGCATAGATTGTGTAGTGATGAAGTCAGGGCATTTATTTATTTATGTATTTATTGATGTATGTATTTATTTATTTATTTCAAGAATATATGGTAGTACAAACATTTTGGTTGCATTTTATATCTTTGCCTCTCCCTAGCAAGGGTTAGAGGTATGCCCTTCCCCTCCACAGTGATCATCGCACCCCTCAGATGTGGGTCTACCCCCCCAACCCCCGAATCCCACCCTTTGAGCACCATAGTGTTAAACAGTCAGTACCAATTTGATGGCGAGTACATGTGGAGCCCATTTTTCTGATCTTGTGTCATGTCACTTTGGATAATGGGCTTAAGCTTAATCCAGGATAGTATAAGTGGTGCTAGCTCGCTGTTGTTTCTTAGAATTGAGTAATAGTCCATTGTAAACATATACTAAATTTTAATAATCCACTCATGAATTGATAGGCACTTGGGTTGTTTCCACGTCCTTGCAATAGTGAATTGTGCTGCCATAAACATTCGGGTGCAGATGTCTTTATAATAGAATGTCTTATGCTCTTTTGGGTAGATGCCTAATAATGCTATTGCTGGATCGAATGGTATTTCTATTTTTAGCTCTTTGAGGTATCTCCAAATTCTTTTCCACAAAGGTTACACTAATTTGCAGTCCCACCAGCAGTGTAAGAGTGTTCCTGTCTCTCCACATCCTTGCCAGTATTTGTTGTTTTATCACTTAACCCCAGTGAAATTGGCCTATATCAAGAAGTCAGGGCTTTTAGGGCATCCATCACCAAGATAATATACATTGTACTATTAAGTAATTTCTCATCATCCACGCCCATCCAACTCCCTTTGAGTCTCTATTAT